GAAAATTATATCGGTACCATTTCTTTCGGCCACCTTTTGGGCATCCCCAACGTATCTCGTGCCAGTATCGGGATCTACCGTGTACCCGAAACTAGAGAACGTTCGTGAGAGGGTGTTGAAAGTAAAGGTCGACATGGAGTGATCCTCAATAAAGCCTGGAAAGCAATATTTTCGTCAGAATATTCGGTCGGACTGCCCCGCCGATGGACGTACACCCAAAATCAATCTCCCACCCTTACCAGAGAGAACATTGCGATTCGTCTGTGTAGACCCGGAGAACGGGTTCTGCGGGCCCATGAGCGGTTTGGAAAGGTCGGTATAGGGAACGTTATGGGTGATCTCCTTGGTCGTGGGACCGGTGAGGTAGCGGAAGCTGGACAGATCCTGGGTGGGAGGGATCGGGTTGGAGAACGACTAGGAGAGCAGCACGAGACTTTCCCCCTCGCAGCCTCCCTCCACCGCAGCACATGCAGCTCCAGGGCCGCGCAGCACGGGACTCACATCAGCGTTCACTTTTGGAGCCAGGTCGATCTTTTGCTTCTTGGCGGCGGAAGCGGGCTGGACGGGGTCGTCGCGGGAGTCGTCTTGTTCTGAATCACCACCCGAGTCTGAAGCATAGAAGGCGAAACCACCCAGGGCGGCGCCTTGTGTTGTGGATTGGGCCTCGGCCATCTGCAGCTGGATGTTGTTGTTGTTTCGTCCGGGTCTGGTCGAGAAAGTCTGCGGTGTCGAGTCGAATGGGAGATCTTGGACGGTCGGAAGCGCAGGCCGTTTCCGCGTCTGTGGAAGACGATTGTGTCCAAGGTCGGAAGCCAAGGAAGGGTCGGACTTTTCTTGTGTTGCATGACTTTCATTTTGTGCACCATGTCCTGTTGCATGGAGCGTGTATGATGGAGGGGGGAATGCCACACAATGGAGGAGCACCCTGGCTCTGTTCCGGATTGTGCTTTTTTACCCTGGCAAATCCGGGTAGAGCCACGGCTCCTTTTCTTGTATGTGACAATACTCCAAATGCATACGGTTCTATACACCGTCTCGAAAAGAGCCGTCGCCTTCCGCCTTCTGCCGCGGGCCTCACGTGGAAGGAATGCGTTGCCGGGCGGAGATTTTGACTCTGGGCGATCCGATTTCTGGCGCCTGCGAGCCCGCCCCGCAGAGGCTGAGTCGCTGAACATCTGAACATCCCCGCAAAACATTATACAAAGGAGCCTTCCGTTTTCATCGCGCAACCAGAGCTTCACCTCACTCTCCTTCTTTCTATCACAAGCTGCTTCATCTCGCAGACTCAATCTACAATGTTCAGGTTCGCAAAGGCTAACAAGTCCGCGCTGGTGAGTATAGAAAGCCAAACTTCGAAGGTCCCTCCCGAGCGGCTGCAAAAGGTCGTCGTCAAAAGGTCCGCCGAGTCAACGAACCTAACATCTTGATCCCCCCCTTCCCCCCACTCAAATGGAAATTCTAGGCCTCGGTCGCGAAGGGTGCGTTTCCCCCCTCTCTTCTTTTTCTTGTTCACACAGAACAGCCTTTCAGCGTCTGACCCTGCAATCTCTTCTTTTCTTTCCAGGTTCGCGCCAGTTCCACCAATCCGCCGTCGCGCGGAAGATCGCATCGAACAGCCCCCTCCGCGCCACCGCCGCCCAGGTACAGCTGAACTGGAGTGAGCGGGACGGAGGCGGGCGCCGAGGCGGGGAGAAACCGACGGGCGGGTGAATAGTATGCACTGGTTAGATCCCCCTTATTGATCTTGGCTGCAACCTCGAAAATAACTCCATGTCCTTTCCCCGCCCCTTTCCCCCGACCATACCTTGCCGACCGCGGATCTGCTTCTCTCCAACTTCCCCAGACCCCCCTCTCCACCGCATACCCGATAATCGACCACACGTACGATGCTATCGTCGTCGGTGCCGGTGGGGCCGGTCTCCGTGCCGCGTTTGGTCTCGCCAAGGAAGGCTTCCAGACTGCTTGCATCACGAAGCTTTTCCCTACCCGCTCCCACACCGTTGCTGCCCAGGGTGGTATCAACGCCGCTCTCGGAAACATGACCGAGGACGACTGGAGGTGGCACATGTACGACACCATCAAGGGCTCCGACTGGCTCGGTAATTAAACGTCGATTTATCTCTCTGGGAATGAGGGCGGATGCGTGTGGGGCGGCGATCCGAGCCTAGTGGTCGTAACGTTCGTACTCTCGCTTATCCCCCACCTACTTTCACGTGACAGGTGACCAGGACGCGATTCACTACATGTGTCGCGAGGCCCCCCAGTCCGTCATTGAGCTCGAACACTTCGGTGTACCTTTCTCCCGAACTGAAGAGGGGAAGATCTACCAAAGGGCGTTCGGTGGACAGTCCCTGAAATACGGGAAGGGTATGTAGAGACTCATGCGGAGAAATTTGGTTGACATGAACTAGGGAAGTTGCTGACTCGCTTTTGACATCACAGGTGGTCAGGCTTACCGTTGCGCTGCCGTCGCTGATCGTACCGGTCACTCCCTCCTTCACACCCTTTATGGCCAGTCTCTTCGCCACGACACTACCTTCTTTATTGAGTATTTCGCCCTGGACCTGATCATGGAGAACGGTAGGTAGCCCGATCTACACATTCCGCGTCTGAATCGCGTAGTAATCGAGAGACTAATCCTCTTTTCGTTCTCCTAGGCGAGTGCCGCGGTGTCATCGCTCTCTGCATGGAGGACGGTACCCTCCACCGCTTCCGCGCGCACAAGACCGTCCTCGCCACCGGTGGTTACGGTCGCGCCTACTTCTCTTGCACCTCCGCCCACACCTGCACTGGTGACGGTAACGCCATGGTCACCCGCGCCGGTCTCCCCCAGCAGGACCTCGAGTTCGTCCAGTTCCACCCTACCGGTATCTACGGTGCCGGGTGCCTCATCACCGAGGGCTCTCGTGGAGAGGGAGGTTATCTCCTTAACTCGCAGGGTGAGCGCTTCATGGAGCGTTACGCCCCTACTGCGAAGGATCTTGCCTCCCGTGATGTCGTCTCCCGTTCGATGACCATGGAGATCCGTGAGGGCCGTGGTGTCGGTCCTGAGAAGGACCACATCTACCTTCAGTTGAGCCACCTTCCGGCTGAGATTCTTCACGAGCGTCTCCCCGGTATTTCGGAGACTGCCGCTATTTTTGCCGGTAAGTCGAGTCTCAAATACTTATATGAATCTCGTTTGAGCTCTCTTTGGTTGCGTCCGAACCGCGAATGACCTTAAGCCTATCCTCATATTAGGTGTCGACGTCACAAAGGAGCCCATCCCCGTTCTCCCTACCGTCCACTACAACATGGGCGGTATCCCCACTAAGTACACGGGTGAGGTGATCACCTTCAAGGACGGCAAGGACGTCGTCGTCCCCGGCCTCTACGCCGCAGGTGAAGCCGCCTGTGTCTCCGTCCACGGCGCGAACCGTCTTGGCGCCAACTCCCTCCTCGACATTGTCGTCTTCGGTCGTGCCGCTGCCCTCCACATTAAGGACACCCTGAAGCCGAACACCCCCCACAAGCCTCTCGCGGCCGACGCTGGAGCCGCCACCATTGCCAACTTTGACCACATTCGTTACGCGAACGGTGCGAACAAGACTGCGGACGTGCGTTTGGAGATGCAGAAGGTCATGCAGAACGACGCTGCGGTATTCAGAACCGAGAGCTCGCTTCAGGAGGGTGTGAAGAAAATCGACGAGACATCGAAGAAGGTCCACGATCTTAAGACCACTGACCGGACTCTTATCTGGTAGGGTCTCGCGCTTTTTGACCCGATATCATTTTCATATATCGCATTCTTCTCACATCGCATACCGCCTTTTTTAGGAACACTGACCTCGTTGAGACTCTTGAGCTGCAGAACCTGATGACTTGCGCCGTCCAGGTATGGAAACCAATCCTTACTACATTTTGAGGATTGTGGTTTTTTACTTGATGCTTACCTGCGCTATATATTCTTCCAGACCATGCACTCTGCCGCCGCCCGTAAGGAGAGCCGTGGAGCGCACGCCCGTGAGGACTTCAAGGTAAACCATAATAACATGTGTTCGCCCCCTGCCTGCATTTCGTTTTATCCCCTTCTCACCCCGCCCTATCACTCCCCACTGCCCCCTTCAGGACCGCAACGATAAGGAATGGATGAAGCACACCCTCTCGTGGCGCGACGACAAGACCGGCAAGGTCGACCTTGTCTACCGCCCCGTCATCGGACACACCCTTGACGAGGCGGAAGCCAAGTCTGTTCCCCCCTTCGCCCGTGTCTACTAGATGCACCCCCCTACCCCTCTCCTTGTGATTTCTCCCCATTCACTTTCCCGATAGCATTTTTCTTTTCCTCCTCTTTCTCGCCTTTTATTTTTTTGAACATGGTTCGTTTTTCGAGTATGTCCGGGAGGTGGGCGAGATTTTTGTTTGATGGCAAATGAGACCAGGTCACTCGGCTCGCTGACGCTTGGCTGGGAGATAGGACTCCTTACTCTCGACTCCCCATTATCTACGGGTAGGATCTGCTAATGTGTTGAGCTCCCTTTTGCATGCGATTATACCTTGCCTCCTATTATCCTCTCGCCGGCAAAAATATTGAGGGGGATTTGCGTTGGAGAGAAGCGGAGGAAGAGGACGGCTAGGACGATGTCATTTTTGCTTCGTGAAGGCGTAACGTGAAAGAATTCACGTTCCTTCAAGGACAATATATCCCCGATACATTCATGCAACCATAGTGTAGTGGTTAACATGCTCGCCTTCCATTAAAGTTAAAGGTAGCGAGCGGCCCGGGTTCGAGCCCCGGTGGTTGCAAAAAGTATTTTCTGCGTAATTTTTTGTTGTTCGTTACACCAACCCCAAATGAATCCGTTCGGACGTATCTGATGCTTTGCTTCTCCTTGCCGGGCGAGCGCACACGTCTGCTTTGTGTTCTCTTCCCCCCTTAAGCTCACCAAAATAGAGCTCACCCAGGCGGTCAATCGCTACCAGTTGATCCCTTGACGCCTGCCGCTCTCGGGAAACAGCCCTCCCGTCAGGCCCTTCCTTCCTCGATGGAACTCCACGTCGTCAACCACTTCCCCTCCTCTTCCGACCACGCTCCAGCCTCAACTCTCCCCTTCATCCCCGCCCTCCCGTTCCCCACAACCCAAACACCCGACGCGCGCATCTCCACCCATGCCTCTCCCAACTACGACTCGGAGCTCATCACCCTCGGCCCCTCAGTTGTCTGGACCCACGGCCGCGCCGCCGCCCGCTCCTTCACCACCCTCACCCAAGACCGCGTCGTCTGCGCCCTCCGCGCGCGGCTCTACGCAGAGAGCTCCGGCCCGCATCAAGCCGGCACGACCACCCTCCAAGATGCGCTGGTGATCGTCCACCCAATCAGCGCCTACGTGCTGTTCGACTCCGGGCGGTCGGCGACGGTCGGGCTCCCATTCGAGGTCGAGAAGGCTTGGGCGATGGAGGTCGGCGTGCTGCTGCAGCGCGGGGTTGGGGGCGATGAGATCCCGTTTCCGAGGCTGGTGTCGTTTGTGCATGCGAGGCAGCTGCCGCAGACGGTTATGGTTGCTGGGCCTGCGGATGTGGTGCCGGGTTGGAAGAGGGAGGGGGGAGAGGGAGGAGGGGCGGGCGCTTGTGCGCGTGTTGTCTGGCGGCGGTGGCTCCGCCATTC